TGGGCGTTTACGTCCTAGTATTCGACAACCAGCACTCCAAGTAAGCCTCAACCCATGGCTCATTCGGAAGTGTTGCACTGGTTTTCAACGTATATGCACACCTCTTGCACGCAGGATGGCACTTTTTATGCAAATACAACCATGAAAATTTTGAAATTGGACATGACCCTATTTTGGACGTGAAAATCGTGAGGAGACCTTAATTCTTGAGTTAGGTGTCTACATGTGGTATTCGGTGCATTTCTTTGGTTAGGTTTGTTTAATCTCCCTGTCAAAGCGAATCACTGGGGCCACGTAGAAAGGTGTGCGTGGTTCATATATGCTCCGTTAGATGCCGCCACAATCCCAGCTGCTCACAGGAAGTCCGTTTTTACAATGAACTAATTAAACTAACTTTTATTAATCATTCTGAGTTCATTAGCCCATATTATAATGAGTATGCCTCGTTAGCTTATGTGTCCAGTATAAGGTCAACTTGAACTAGAATAATCGATTTCGTAACAGTCTTACTTTCAAAACACGTTTTCTGAATGTTTGGAAAGCCGAAAATGGGTGCTCGACCAGAAGTGCTTTGAAGAGAAGCAACCAATCGTTGCTCGTGTCACTAATAAAGAGTGCCAGACCTGGCGCGATCAATATCATCACATCATAATAAAAAATCGAAATATGCCTACGTGCATGGAGCGATAAGACAACGTATGATGGCGATGGCAAACTGGGCGTTAAGCGTGTGGCAAGAGGTTGCAGCAGTCTAACGGGCCAATGTATTGTAGCTAGCGTGGTTGCAGTGCCGCTGTCTGTCTCCTTCTCTTCTTGTCCCTCGTTATTGGTGCTATTTTTATGTGACCAATGTATTGTGATGCCCGTTCGGTCTTATGTCGCAAGTGTTACGACCTCAATAACTTGAACGCTAAGCATTAGTTTTAGTACGAGCTGGAAGGTAAAAATTTTTATTTAACGCTTAATAAAATGCTTGGAACATATCGCGCGCAGTTCTGTCGTATTGCTTGGTTGTCTTTGCCGACCAAAGTCCCCTTGCTATGAAGCGGATGCACCTCCTAAAACAGTTTCATTCTACAGTGAAGCGCACTTTGCAGGAAAAAGTAAAATTTCTTACTGTTTCCTGTTTTTTTTTTTCTATTTTAGAGGATAAAACGTCATTCAGTGTCGTCCTTGCACCAAGTTTCGTTACACTTGTTGCTTTAGGTGTATCGTTTTTAGTCGGGATGTTTAAGTCTTCAGGATGCTTTTTTACTACTACCGATGTAGCTAAATAGAATGTTCGCAAATCCTCACGTAGTCCATTAAAATTGCTATCAATAATCAAGCACATGTCGGCGCCATTAAGTATAGTCTAAGATAAAGCACTTCAACAATTTTTGTCAGGCTAAATCGCCGGCCTTACAACAGTGATGACTTTTTTTCTAGAGCAACTAGTCTTTCTAGGCTTATCTTAATTGACCATTTGCAAAACACTAGGACATTCTTGAAGATTGCCTACATGCTCATACCATGCTAATGGGTTTACTTTCATGCTGTAGTAGCAACTCCTAGTGGCATTTAGGTCCAAAATATAGTTTTGGTAAGCTCTCATATTAGAACCATGGCATTGTTATGCCATAATGTTACTGAATGCGAAAGTTTCCTGTAGATGTGGTGAGCACACCTCCTAATGCAGCTAGCTGTACTTAGCAGGGAAGGTCACTTCGCGGACGAAATCCCACGTTCTCTATTCGTGCAAACCATTCTCGCAACTCAAAGGACACCGAATGTCCTTGATAATGTAATGCCACAATATTTTAGTATTTTTTTCGTTAATCTGGAAGCGCTTTATTGTGGCATAATGTGAAAGCTGTAAACTGTTCCTTCTTAAATTTCGGGCCAAAACCTTCACACTAGAATGCTATGCATTCTACATACTATCCCCTTTCTGCATCTCCAAGTGCTTCGTCGCAGAAAAGGCCACCAATAATGACTAGGTTTGGAGGCTCTAGTTTATGAGGACTTTTCTATTTGCCCTTAATAGGTGCTGCTGTATCGTTAGTGAAGGTAGGTTGTAAATCGGGACTGGCTCCGTAGTGCATCATCTTTTATGCCCACAAATGCACCATAGCAACAAGTATTATTCGTCAGAAATTCGCAATAATGATGGCAATCATGACTCCACTTTGGCACTTACATAATAGAATGTAAACTGACTCGATTGGTGAACGATGAACAAGCTACAAATCTGTCATGGCAATGCATGACGCAGCGCAACATCCCATAGGGTTTGTCAAGTCACCTCTCTCGAAAACGTAGGTCTCCCCACCACATTCGGGGCTCCCATTTTCACTTGCAAATAAACGTCTATTTTTTGCCGTCAGGCTGTTGAGATGCCTTTTTTTGCTCTGCCAAACTGAACAGTTCTCAAATGGTCACTTGACAAGTGGTTGTCAACAAGTAATCTTTGAATCAATGTGTGAACTTATTAGTGCAGAAACTGTGCTGTCTTGGCCAAATCTAGTCGTTAACAAGTCTCCTCCCTGTCTTGTACGCAGGTTCATGGCGAAGAAGGTGTCCTACAGACTGCACCTTCACAAGCCATGTGCTTCGGATAGTGATGTGAGCAGCGTGTAAATAAGTTTCTGAACAAGTCTTCCACGGACTGTTTCTTGTATAGATGGACTCGTGTGCTTTATTTAGACTTGTATATTTATGTTTTAGTGTGTTTGTACCATATTTTTGCCATGACCCATTAGGCTTGTGTATCATAATGTATCAATTTTACGTTGAAAGCAATGTATCCGTTAAGTTATTCGATGACTCGATACTGCTTTGAATGTCCACTTGTGCATGTTCTTTTAAATGAAGCCTCATTAATTTAAATTCTATATTTAAGAATGTGCTATTGTAATAAAGGATATTTTCCTACTTGTCTTCACATGGGATAGCATTATTCCACTAAAATGAATGCTGCCAGACACATCACGAATAGAGTATTTTATTCACCAAAGTACACGAGAAAACAAAACATTGGGTTTTGAACAAAAACATGAACCATCAAGTTCAACATCAACTCTAGCCTGCTCAAGTTTCCTTTTAAATGATGAAACTGTGATATGATATAATGTAAAGGAGGTATCTCTTTAACAGTGAGTTTTAGAAAAATGTAGTCATTAGGCATGGCAGACAAATATGTAAGAACCAAGTTGCAAAGATTGTTGAAAAATCAAGCAATACGAATCTGGATGGTGTTGTTAGCTGTTTATCATGGGAATCCAGAACTTTGTTTCATACAGCAAGCATGAGAATATGGGGCTACTTATTGCATGATTGTGATAAACAGAATATCAACTGTAAAATTGAATGACAAATGCACAAAATATCTGAACTTTGGTGATTCTCCATTGATACATTTAAAAATGTAGTGCACGCAAGTACAGCTTCTCCAAATACCAGTTGTAAGTGCAATACAAGTGTTTGCCATCCTTTCATCGTATCATCCATGTCTGTTGAACACGTCAAATACTTTACTAGAACGCCAGCGATATTGCTGGTCAACTAGAGTGGGAACAGATAGGCAAGTTATTCCAACTTTCATTGAACTTAGCTACAGTTAATCCATGCTTTAGCACAAATACTGAAATTACATGGGTCCAATTTAGGCCACCCCTTCAAAATTTCACTTAAATGAAGTAGAATTGATGTGTAATTCATATAATACATTTGAAGCCACTCATTTTAGATTAATTTTGTCAAAACAAATACTCTCAAATGTTCTGGCCTGCATCACTGTTCATGAAATAGTTGTAGACATAGCACTAGTGACCGAAGAAATGTTCAGAGATACATTTATAAAAGCTTGATTCATGCAAATCTGATGAAACCCACACACCACTATCAATTTACACGAGAGACTGAATAACTTCAGTGGCGATTTCCCTTTTTCAATCGGTAATGAACTGACAGGTTTAATTGGTCTGAATATTAATTGGCCAACTCTACAAACATGTATTACATGAACAAAAAATGGAAAGACTTCAAGTATGACAGGCAAGTATGGTTGATATGGTGGGGTTGATTTCATGCAACGATTTATGGTTTGCTTGTGCTAAATGCTTAGTATTAGATATCCCTGTGATATGTGTAAGTATGTGTAACTTTGGATATGTGTACTTACTACTATTTCCTGAGTATTATAAGTAGCTGTGCTACAAGTTAATTTAACCCTCTAACAAAGTGAAGAAAAGTTAATTGTTCCCAGAGCTTTCTAGACTAGGAATATCATCTTGCAGCCAAATACAAACATTTGTTGGACTACACTTGACTGAAAGTTTGTGACTAGAGTTGTTGAACAAGCGAGAGAAAGAAGCTCTGTACACCGAGTAGATGCCAATTTTCTGCCTCAACTTGATGATTTCTACCAGCCACTAAATAACGGAGTTCTTCCGGTGCTTGTTAATTTGACATGTGTTATCAGGAATGCCAGCTTTCAGAAACGAACTTTCATAATGATCTGATAATCAAGGCTGCCCAAAAGAACTTACAGATACCACACGGAAACGTCAAACTTTCTGTACACGTAACTGTTTAAGATGAGTTACGTAACATGAAAATAAGCCTTTCGCAGCACCACCTACATTTTTACATAGTGTTACGCATACCTGGGAAGAAAACGAAGATGGCTGAACATGCTGGCTGCCCCAAGCTAGAGAAAGGAGGAAGACGACGACACTGTGATCATCAACCTGTTGGCCGCTCCGGCGCTTCTTCAACAGGTTGATGATCGCAGTGTCGTCGTCTTCCTCCTTTCTCCAGCTTGGGGCAGCCAGCATGTTCACCCATCTTCGTTTTCTTCCCAGGTATGCACAACAATATCAAGCACAATGTGAAAGCACCTATACTATGAACAATAAGAACAGCTTGTTCACCTAAACAACATTCCAAATGAAATTCCCACTAAATATTTTCATAACATTCTTTTCGTTGGTGCTTAAAAATAAATTACTTTTTTTTCCTTGGACTAGAATGATGTGCAACTTAACCGTGAAACACTAACCTGCACACAGGCTACACTTTTGTGTGATGCATATAGGCTTGTCGATCTAAATGTGGCTATCATAGTGCACAATTGGCAAAAGCTGACATAAGCATAAGATGTATTCTTGGGTGGCAACTGCGTGTTTTGAACTTCTTAAATGAGCTGCACGTATGCACTACTTTTTTGCCATTGGTGCAATTTTGCTGAACAACACATGCATGCTACCAGCTAGGGTGGCGAAACCTCAAAGGGGCAATAACAGCAAACTTGCAAGGCATGCTACCGCGGTAGTAGGACTCCAGAATGTCCACAGCACCACTTTTACCGAGATAAAGGCCCCGAAATACTACACACATGTTACACAGCATTCGGGGTCAGTAACTTCCAAAATATGCGAGCACTTTTGTGTGATCCTACGTAAGCGCAGACTATACGATATGCTAGTTTTTGTTTGATTTTTTCAAATGTCACAAATAATGAAACAATACACAGGTTTGTATTTGTTGCAATAAGAATAGCAATCTCAACGGGAACACTGCCCAGTAAGTGTTCTTTTCATGATTATAGAAGGGTGTGGACAAGTTTGGTTTCAATACAAAAGTAAGACCACTCAATATACTTTTCTTACCACTGCAAGTGGCAGTGATGAATTAAGACATATCTGACATTACAATACATACGATATAGATCTCAAGTATGCATACACTAAAGTCTTGGAAAAGAACTTGAGACCGGGTCTATGCAAAAGAACAGGTCTAATATTACAATATTCTGACACCAAATAATGATAATGGCTTATCAATGCCGTCACAATGGACTAACTGATGTTTCTTGGATGGCCGACTGAAAGAAGTACAGCATCTCTTCAGTAACTTGTATCTGCCAATAAATGGCACTTAAACACTGCATTGTCATCACATGGCAGGAAAACATTGCACTGTCATTAACAATGCCTCATACAACATGACACTGTTGCTAGCACACCAACTTCAGGTGAGCCAAGCAGCCAACCACAACACGAATGCACATCTAACTTGTATCTGCCAATAAATGACACTTAAACACTGCATTGTCATTACATGGCAGGAAAACATTGCACTGTCATTAACATTGACTCATACAACATGACACTGTTGCTAGCACACCAACTTCAGGTGAGCCAAGCAGCCAACAACAATACGAATGCACACCTGTAACGTGCACTCTCACAAATAACATTAATGAAACGTGCAGAGAATGACTGCTTCAAGTTTATCTTGCAGCAGAGTTGATATTTTCTAACTGCACACACAAACATTAGTTTTACTGTAGCTGATATCACTTTAGGTTTTACTTTTTTCAAGTTTAATTATAGCTATATACTAAGAATTATGAGTCTGAAACATTACCTGCAGCACTAGTACATCAGGTCGGTCGTTATATTTGCAATCGTTGTGTCGAGCTGCAGACATGTTAGCATACAAACTTTCAGACTGGTTGTATAAACAAACATTTTTTACAGCTTTTAACGAATATGCAAACATACTACAAGAACTTAGTCTATCACTCTAGCTGGTGCTGCCGTCGGCATTTGGATGCGAGGAGGCCTGTTTAGTTCACACGTACGACACGCCTCCCATCTACTCACATGCTTTTAACCACAGTGAAAATATCAGTTTGTACAACAGACAACCGGGTTTTTGATATTTTTCTTTTCTTAACGTTAGCAAACACACGAGAGCTAACATTCAAGCTGCCTTAAATGCCTTGTACACATGAGCAAAGCAGCTAGTGATCACAGTAAGTATGTCAGCTATCACAGATAAAAGTGTCTCTAATGAGTTTTCTTTGTCAGCACCTACTGGTCTATATAAATAGAAAATTTGCTCAGTTTCAAGTATGTTAACATCAAACTAAAATCATTAAAAATAAAATGTATAAGAATGTTCACACAATCTTGTGAGAACTGGTAAAGAAATAATCACCAGCAGGGGCGTTCTATTTGGATACGATATTTGTAAAGAACTCAACGTAAATGTTACCTGATAAGTTAAAATATTGTAGGTGTTGGTATCGTAAAATATATATTGCACTGAACAACACTCAAGGAAACAACAAATATACAATAGAAAAAAAGAAAGACAACGAAATCACAATAGTGGTGTTAAAATGCAAAATCAGAAAAGTGAGCATTTTCGTAGCAAGGAAAAAAAATAAATAAAGACTAGAAGATTCCAACACTCTATGCAGCTGCGCTGTGTACTGGAGGCAGTGCCCCCTCCCCTACAAACTTGATAGCTTTTTTTTTCTTTACGCCTCTCCAGTCTGAAACCTATTAAGAAATAAAAACACATGAGTCACAAAAAATGCGCATCTCAGTGTGAGACACTTTTACACAAGTAAACTTAGTGTCGCTTTCACCGAGTGCCACTCGCGTAGTTAAGTCATTGGGAGCATGTCCCATGCCAGGGAAATTAAATGCATCGCAGAGTGCTCTGAAAGGCGTGTGTGCTTAGTTGACCCTGCTTCCCTTCTTCCAAGCTCAGTCATGTTACACAGCCTTGACGAGGAAAGTAGTTGCAATAAAAAAAGTGACAAATAAAAAAAAATTGAGCATTCTACTCTCATGCAAGCATCCTTACTACTGCATTTGTACAAAATGAAAACAAAAGAATATCTTGCACTTGCAATGCTCAGCCAATTAAGGTATCACCCATGTGCACAGTAGTGTCACTGCAAAATCAGTTTGTTAACTTGTCAGTTATAATAAAAAAGAAAGGCTGACCAAAATAAAGCAAAACAGCCACTACAAAACCTTGAGGGGCATGTTTTCATCATTTTTATCAACCTCGAAACGAAGTTTAACTTTGCTTTGACGCAAGATGCTGCCAAAATCAACCTAAGGCTTAATTTCAATGGAAAGCACGGAGCAGTCCCCAAGCTCAGCTGCAAAGCACTATTTTAATAGGAGGAGTACTTGCTTCAGATATGCATCTTGAATGCTCAATATGGCCCAATGAGAAACAAGAAGAAAATACTGCATATGCAGTAAATTAGTCTATTTCTGAAGAACTAAGTGTTTGGATGCACAAAAATCGGCCTACATAAACCAATGATGCCTTGTCGCACTCTCACAGCATGAATGCTAGCAAAACTTCAGTCAACTTGTTGCTAAAGTCTCAATCACGAACTCTGACGTCATTGTTCAGCTCGTAAAGGAAGGGCCACTCAGACCTTTCTCACACTTGCCTCCATTGTAAGGCTCAGAACTTTGAACATTTAGGTTCAGCAACACAAAGAAACTGTCAAATGAAGATGGCAAAGGCCATTTCATTGTCCCAGCCACGTAGTGCAACAGCTGAACCGGAGAACCAATCTTGGTAGCTGTACTTTACTAAAGAATAGGAAGTGCTACAATAGTAGAGTGTGAATCGTTTTCTTTGGAGCAGTTATCCACTAGTCGTAGTGCCAGAAAGAGAACTGTTTCCATCCAATATGGCGCAGTTTGGTCTGTCTATTTTGCGAAGTCCTCAGAAACAGATAATCCAAAGTTCTTTGGAAGAATTGCGTCATGCAGACTCAAAGTCGAATTTTCCAGTTTTGGTGGAGCAGCCTCAAAGGTTCCAGGGAGCACTCTTAAATTTGTATGCATTCGCTATCTGAAATTCAAATATGCGGTCTGTGTCCTCAATGTGCCTTGTAACACACCTGCTACAAAAGAAGCAAAAAGGTTTGCTCAAAATCTTCCACTGGAACTCAACGAGAACGATGGGAAGTGCACTCGCTGAAAACAACACTAAGTGCACAAGAGCGCTACCCTTGTACAGCTTGTGGTAGGTGCAGAGCATGTGCCTCAACGATGGTCTCGTGTGCAGCAGTGGGTGCACAGAAATGAAAGAATGAAGAAATCAAAATGCAGGCTTGCAGGCAGCACTGGGAGTGTGCAGAAGGTTGCTCGTGACTTTTGTGCCCTTAAAGTAGCAACTCACGTAGCCAGGGCAGTCCGCAGATCCTTGATCTGGTCGTTCTTGGTGCACAACATCTTCTTCATGTTCGTGTAAGCTGCGGTTTGGCTGAACTTTTTTTCCAACTCCTGCGAGAGATGCATATCGTTTGAATAGCTTTTGCACACAGAAGTGTATTAGTAGTTCTTTGACATAAAAGCAGTGTCAAAGTTTATTATTAAGATAATAAAAAAATAATACATTCTAAAGAACTATGCATAAATAGGCAAGCCACAAGGGCAGAGCAAAAAATTAATTTTGACCAAGAAATCTAATAACAAGCATTCTCGCATTTCCCCCTTGGTTGTCACATCTAATTATATAATGTGGTGGTGATTAAAAAGCAGAAGTTGAAAGCATCAGATTATGGAACCTGGACTTGTCTGTCTATATATGCAGACAATGAATACACGACTGCCCAACAAAGATGCAGGCAATAATAATAATACAACCAGGTTCAAAATAGTAATGTTGGACACCAGTCCAACAGATAGTAAATTAGCTGTACCCTATGTAAAACATGCTCACACTGAATGATATTACATACCAACAGACAGTACATGGCTAAATAATTGCCCGAATTTTGAAGAGAAATAAAAGTGGCTCCCTCCTCTTGACTCATCATGAAAGCGATTATAAAAATACCATATCTAAGAGCAAGACAACGTGTTGTAAAAGCAGCTACTTATTGCTGCCTTTTCAGAGCATCTGCACACGCGTCTTCTGTAATGCCCCTGGCAGGCAGAAGTGCCCTGCATGCCTGACAGCTAGTTCCGGACTTCAAACTCCAGGCACATATGGAATGAAGCAAATGGCAAATTAACTTGTTGCCATTGTTATCATGGATCACATGATCTCCCTGAATTGAGGCAGACGGTTTGAATTGCTGAAGAGTTGCATAGTGATGTCAGCAATGCAGCAATAAAGAATTGTGCGATAGAAGCTGTGCCTAATACAAGAGACAGGGGTATACTTATATTAGTACTGCCACAATTGTGGTACCCTAGGGGATCTGTAGAATCTAGGATAAAATGACCACAATTTGATCGTTTAATGCTTGCGCACCTTTGTGTTAATGAAGGCAATGTGAAATGTACTGCAGTAGAGTGGCTGCTCATTGCCGTTGGATATCCTGTGATACCTAAAGGGACACCAAATAGAGTAATAATTTTTTTTCTAGCATTAGCAAAAAGAAACCCTGCACAATACCAATAGCACCGCTCTTGTTCATGGAAGGGCATTCACAGGCAAAAAAAAAATGCACAGAAACAAAATTACAGGCAGATAAGTGACTTTGATAAAGTTCATTGACTGACTTTGAGGCTCCACAATTTTACAGATTTTCACAGCATCTGTAAACAACTGTGCAGATGTTTATTGGTTAAAAATGAAATTGTTTTCAAGGGGTAAGAGACTTAAAACAGTAAGCATCAGAAAATTTCATCAGCTAACGGGCACAAGTATTTATTTATTTTTTATTTTTATTTATTTATTTTAATACTGCCAACTTGCTTTACAAGCCATAGGCAGGAGTGGATTGTGCACAAAAGAAAATGATGAACAATCTGTGAGAACGGTTCCAAACAAATCTGTGGAATAAAATTAAAAACAGTGTTGAACAATCTTTTCAGTATGTGAAACAAGAAACAACAGGTTCCAGTAAAACACACACGATAATACAGTTGAAAATACTGGTAAGAAAATACATGGACCACAGGGTGAAAAAATGTTTCAGTTTAGGACAAATAAAATAACTACAAGGGGAAAAAAAAGAGAAGAATGTGCAAAAGAGCGCATGTTCACGCAGTAGTCTGCTCGACAACGATAAGAAGGGTGTAATGATTTTTGTTTCAATGTCGCACGCCATCTGGAAAGCGACAGACGCCACAGGAAACATCTCGGTCATAGATGAGCGAGAGCGTGCATAAACGACGACATGGTTGGGCTCTGTAATACATTTTCAGGCAATGCGTTCCATTCATGGATTGTACGAGGGAAGAACGATTTTTTGAACATGTTGGTTCGGCACGAGTATTCGATTAGTTTGAACAAATGAGATGAACGGGTTGGGCGCCTACTACACGGTTTAATATACAATTCCCTATCTATTTTGACATGTTGTCGATAAATCAGGTATAACATCTTGAGCCTGTCTCGATAGCGTCGTACCTCTAGAGTTTCGAGGTTCGCGTCCTGTAAAAGAGCACTGACGGATGTATGACGACGGTAAGAATTAAAGATAAATCTGACTGCTTTCCGCTGTATGTTTTCGATTTCGCTTACGTTTGATTGGGTGTAAGGGCCCCAGACAGGAGTAGCGTATTCTAGTAATGGTCTTATGAATGTCTTGTAGGCCAACAATTTTATATTGCTCGTAGATTTAGCCAAGGTTCTTCTCAGGTATCCAAGTTTCTTCATGGCCTTATTTTTAATGTGAGCTACATGGTTACTCCACCTAAGGTCCGACGTGATCACTAAACCGAGGTATTTATATTGCGTGACAGACGATAAGTTATGGCCATTAATGCTGTACACAAAAGGTAATGACTTCTGTTTGCGTGTTATGGTCATCGATACTGTTTTTCTGAGGTTAATGCTCATTTGCCATTCTAAGCACCAAGTAGCTATAACTGATAAAGATGAATTTAGGATAGCCTGATCTGCCTCGCTGTGGATTTCATTGTAGAGTATGCAGTCGTCTGCAAACAACCGAATTTTAACTGGTATGTGTTGCACTATGTCATTAATGAACAGTAGAAAAAACAGGGGACCCAAGACTGATCCCTGTGGTATTCCAGACCGCACATCAGATGAGTCCGACTTTGCGTCGTCGACAACGACTGTTTGCCGCCTGTTTGTCAGATACGCCTCTGTCCATTGAAGTAGCTGGTCGTTTTTGAGAATGGGTTTTAGTTTTAATAGCAACTTTTGATGGGATACACGGTCAAAGGCCTTTTCAAAATCCAAAAATATTATGTCAATTTGACCTTGGTTGTCCAGTGTTGCCGCAATTTCATGTACGGTTTCCAGTAGTTGCGTTACGGTTGACATTCCGCGACGGAAGCCGTGTTGACGTGTGTCGCAGAGGCCATTATTTTCAATGAAGACTGAAATGTGCTTAAATATAATGTGCTCCATCAGTTTCGATGAGGTACAAAGAAGAGAGATAGGGCGGTAGGAGGACAGCAGTGAGCGGTCTTCTGATTTAGGGATGGGAATAATCTTTGCATGCTTCCAGTCGTGTGGTATTTCTGCACGTGAAAGTGATTTGTTGAAAATAATGCACAGATATTTGGCGCACCATTCCGCATATCTCCGGAGGAAAGCATTAGGTATTTCATCGACGCCTGGCGATTTTTTCACGTCAATGCCAAGAAGCAAGGACAGTACTCCCGCTTCGTTTATGTCGAGGGAGCTTATGGGCGGAGTAGCGTCTAGAACAGATATGCGTGGTATCTTGCCATCATCACTCGTGAACGCGGAGCAGAAGTACTCGTTCAGTGCATTTGCAATTCTGAGTTTGTCAGTCAACATGATACCATCAACACAAATATCAGACACGTGGGTCTTCTTTGGCGATAGATATCTCCAGAACTTATCCGGGGATGACTCAAGAAAGTTTTTCAGTGATACATTTTGATAGTGATCTTTAGCTTTTAATATGCCGTTTTTAAGCTGTCGGCGCAGGTTGGTTAGCTTATCAGAGTTTGCTTTTGATGGTCGTACCGTATGCTGCTTTCTCACTTTTTTTAATTTTCGCCCAAGACGCACAAGGTTTCTTGTCATCCACGGATTCGTTTCACACACATATTTTCGCTTTTTGGGCACAAAATTGTCGATACAGTTGTGAACAAGTTTTTTAAAGAAGCACCATAAGCTATGAACAGAGCCGTCATGTGATTCCGAAAGACATACAAATTTGGAAAACTCATTATCTAAAGCATCAAGTATGTCGACGTCGCTAGCATGTGAGTACACAGGAATTAAGTGTTGGCTTTTAGATGGTTTTAATCGGAAGTTTAACTCTAACGTAAGAGATGCCATTCTGTGATCTGAAATTCCCTCAAATATGTCGACTCTCGGATTGCGCTTGAGGACGTGGTCGTTTACCAGGAAAAGATCTAATATGTTAAGTGCGCGAGTCGGTTGTTTTACTAGTTGCGTCAGCCCATGAAAAAGAACGATATCGGTTAAAGGTTCTGCTGCTGCGCAAAGAGCATTAGGGAAATCAGTTGACCAGTCAACTGACGGGGCGTTGAAATCACCAGCAAGCAAAATGTTCTTACAATGCGTGCCAGCTGTACACAAAAATTCATTCAAATTGTCAAAAAATATGTCACAGTTTGGTGGGCGGTAAAAACCGGCGATTACGAGATGGAAGTCGTTTAAAAAGACTTTCGCAATGACGCATTCGGTGTCTGCTATGTCAGGGGATCTTTGAACATGCATGGACTCTTGAAACAACAGAGCGACTCCGCCCCCTCGGGAATCTCGGTCCTTCCTATATATTTTGTACCCTGGTGGTGTTATCTCGAAGTCTAAGATACCTGAGTGCAGCCAAGTTTCAGATATTATTACGACATGCGGCTCATGCGCCACTATAATACTTTGCAAGTCGCTAACTTTGTTTACGATGCTGCGAGCGTTCAGATTAATGATGCGGAAGTATTTTTGAGTGACCGAAGAAGTTCACTGTTTCTTCCTAGATTTTTTGTTGGCTGCTAAAACGGGAATTCTTTTCATCTCAGCAGCATCCCAAGCATATGTATCTCCATTTATGATGACTTTGTCGTGTACAAGTTTCACTTTCTCGCCCTTTTTCCTGATATTTGCAGTGCTTTCCCATAAGTACCTCCTGGTCTGCCTAGTTTCTGGTGAAAAGTCTTCGGCAACTGAGATATCTTTTCCCTTCAGTTTAGAGCAGTTTCTGAGTACATTAATTTTTTCACGGTGATCAATTAACCGGAGCACTACCGGTCTGTTTTTGTTTCGCCTCTTTTGTCCTATTCGGTGAATTCTTTCGACTGTTGACACCTTTACACCGAGCATGTTTTCAAATATTTCAGAAACCACCGAATTTGTTAGTGAC